TGCCGCCTGCATGGCAGAAACCTTGCTTAACCTAAATATTTAGTTGGTATTCTGACTCGAGAGAAAAGCTGGAGTCCTGGATGCCCGGAGGGCTGTAGCAAATTTTCAAGTGGCTACACCACTCGAGTATTCATGGTAGTATAATACACGGCTGGTCACGAGCCTAGGCTTTACTGTGACTTTTACATCCTATTTTGGGTTTTGTATCTTTTGTTTCGTCACTTGACCTTTCCGAACTTTGGCTCATTTTGGCGTGTTTTATCTTCTTTTTCCTCCCATTGACACTTATAGTAAGTCCAACACATGGCATTGATAACCGGGTGTTACCGAAGTAGAATCGCTTAAGTGTTCAGACTAACGCAGACCATGAGCAATGAGTACTATTATCTCTTGTTCGCCATCGAAGAGTGATTGGTCGTCCCTCAGCAAGCCTCAGTTTGTCGACTTAATATTGGGTTGTTCACAGCACATTCACTCATGTTTTATACTCCAGGCAACTTCAACCTTCCTCGACTTCCATATTGGTTACATCTAGCAGCTCTCCCATTTTGTGGAACCCAAATACTACTACTCATATTACTGGTGCACCTGCCCCACAAGCTGAAGTGGGTAGCTCAGTAGCAACCATGCAAAAAAGTCTTGTTTTTCACGGTCGTCATCATAAGCGCTCCGCCCAGTGTGCCTTATTTCAAGGTGGTGACCATGATGAGGATTGTGACTTGCCAACGAAGAGATTCAAAATTTTGAAAACATCCGTGAGTATCTCATCATGATAATGCGGATCCTAATTTGAGAGGTAAATTCATGTTCAAAGTGGAACTGCACTCAGCCCAATTCTGATGGCGCAAACTATGTCAACGAGCGGATGCTCGAGCTCCCGCAGGTCACTCGCCGGGCCATTTCCGCAAGAATGTGATACCAATGTATTCGCTCTCACGAACTAGATTTGATGAAGTCCATTCTTGAAGATGAAACGATGCTGTCCCAACAAGATATCCATAGCCTTGATCTGCAAATCGGCTCCCTTAGACACATGCTCCATGCTGGAGGAGTGACGGTGATAGGGCATAAAGGATGTAAACTCGATTCTAACGACCACGGCCAGGCTTGGTGTGAAAGCGATGATGATGATGATAGTTCGATTTTTGGATCTGATGGCAGTCGCTCAGCCTGCGAGTCAGGCTGTGCGTCAGATGAATAATCTGACGAGCAGCTGTGCTATGATAATATTAGTGTGTATTGTCCCTATGATCTTTTTCATATTGTAGTCAGTCACGATATCCACCATTACATGTGTCTATGTAGTTTTGCACACAGTGTAACAATCATATTTATTTGTTGAGTTACATAAATTGCTGGACCAGAAATGAAAGGCACACAAAGCCCACTTTACAACCGGAATTTGTCTTCACTTGTGCATTCTCTGTCGTCTGTCACTTGCAAGGGTGGATCAAAAGCTAGCACAAGGAAAAATCATGCATTCATAGGTTCCGAGTCACATCTGGTACTCCGATTCATTACATAGTACTAGTAATAAGAGTGGCCGCGCTGCGGCGTTGTAGTGTCACTCAGGATCCAAGCGGCGCCACAGATAAACGCCCACAACCTCGATTTGATTTGCCTCAGCGGCAACACCGTGGCTATTAGTAGTACCGCCGCACTCTGGGGCATGAAGTAACATTTCAGATTAGACTCTGAGTCAAGAGACTCATCGCCAGTCACATCTGTCATGTTCCAATAATTCTAGAACCCGGTTCTATTACTTACAACAACTTCTACTTGGAAGCAAGTCTTAGGTGTGGTGGGGCATGAACATTAAATATAGGAGTTGTGAAATTTAAAATATACTCCAGCTCGATCGTACGCCGCAATTCTTATCATTAGTAAAGTCATGAAAGCAACTGAATGCTGATCAAAATGTTTCCCCATGTGTTTAGCCACGGTGTCCTCGACCTACTACTGACTAGTAAGTTATATACATCTAGACCACCACCCTCAGATCTTATTAACAGATTCAGCCGCCCAGCTGTATAAAGGTCGACCCAGGGTGTACATTTCTCAGTCCGCTTCGGGGCAATCAGAGGACTTTTGCCCAAATCGAACGATCTTTCGACTCTTTCGACTTTTTTCTGCTTTTTATGAACCTTTGAACTTCATGAATTTCTTCCGACACACGTTATGGTTTTCTGCACTGTCCAACTTTGGACTCATCTTCTTCACGCACTGGACCATGTGCCATCATGATCACAATGAAGGCCTTGCATACTGACTCCAGCTTTAAACGATATTGCAATGATGAAGTTGGTCAGTTATCATTGGGGTTCTCCAAGTCCATTGAGTCTGTGAGTCAAACCCACTACATGTGCATCGTGACGTCCAAGTCTTTATTGGTATAAAGTTCTATCAGATGGCCGCACTGTGACGCCTTGAACTTGAACACATGCATTGGAGAGTCACCAGCGCAACAATGTCATACTCTGGATTTTCTTATATTTCGCTTTACTCCATTGTCTAAAATGCAACTCACCTGCCAGACGGTGAGTCCCAACTTTCCAAAGTCCCTCTCCTTGAAGCATTATGACTACTCCCGAGCCGTCCGACTCAGCTAGCTTTGAACCCATACCCTACGACCCCGTAAATCCCAAGCGGTGTTTGACGTCTTCAGAACGTTCATCGCACCGCTTACAGCCTTACACTCGCACTAGCAGCACAAGTGGCGCCGTGCAGAATAACTCACCTTCAATTGGATCTGGAAGTTTCGTCTCAGACAACTGTGGAGGCCAGAAAGAGGCGAAAAAATTGGCCCTAAGGGATCTGCCCCAGGGTGAACGTCCGACCGTCAAATGGGCACAGAAGTGCCTGGTGATGGATCTGTTAATGACAGTTGTTTGGCCGCAAAACAAAACGGACGAATGCAGGGATGCCTACCTTAATGAAGTTCTGAATCAAGCCAATTCGATGTATGGGACTAGTATGTGCCATACTGCTATTGTACTGTATCACCAGCTACTAATGCAACACACCAGAAGTAGCATTGACAAAGGAACTTGGCATCTTGCTGACCAACCCTGTCTCGCAGTTTCGCAATAATCTTGTGGAGATTGCAGAGAAGTTGGTACGAGAGTTCGGAATCAAACCCGAGGACACCACGTTGAGCGATGAGGCCCGCATCACCTACATGCAGAATCGTAGACTCATGCTCCTCGATTCATCCGAGGCCAACCGATGGCAATATTTTTTACATGGTGAGAGAGTCGTTGGACAGAATGTCAGCCTGCTCGTGTTTTCGACTCCAATCGTGGAGAAGATACATATCAACCATCTATATGGCAGTCCTTACACGCCACTGCGCGAGAAGGTGTTCCTGAAGGAGATCACTACGACGACACTTAATATGTTCTCACATGTTGCAGCCGGGGTGAGTCATAGACTTATATACTCTCGTGTACATGATGTTCACTAATTTCAGGTGGAGTACGGAATCGACAAGATAGTAGAAGATGCTATCCCGAGCTCTACTAATAAGAAGAAGACTTGGCAATTCCATGGTGAAATATACGCCTCGCGCCAGGCCTACTACATGGAAGCCATAACACGTGCATTGTCACTCCCGATCCACAAGGAGGCTTTACCGGCGCGGTTTTTAAATCTTCATCACAGAGGACTGTGAGTTGTTTCTGCTGCCTTGACTCGGACCCGGAATGTGACAAAACCATGCTTGTGATTTTGTAGCCATACCTTGAGAACCAAATTGGGTTTAGTGGGTCCAGAAGATCCAATCTACATGCCTCAGACAATGCAGGAGTTAACTAGACCACTTAACTCAGGCCCTAGTACCAGTCAGCTGTTCCTGCAATCATCATCTGCAGTGCTGCCAGTGCCCGCCCAGGAGGAGCCGTATTCATACACAAGTGACCTCACAGCAGGCGGGTCTTCCATGGATGTACACGCTCATACAAGTACCATCTACTATGGCCCTGCCTCGGATTCCCAGTTCGGCCTCTACTACTGCGCGCCACCCGATGAAGATGAAGGTCCCCAAGATCCGTTGAACCAAGGATATTCATTTTACTGAGTGTTGCGCATGTAGATTGAAAGAGGTGAGCAGCACTTGAACGTCCAGTTCCACTTTACTACATGAGCTAATTTCCAATACAGTCCGCATCAGAAATTCCTTGTAGTCTTATGGTGTTACAGTTTAGATAGACCGCCTTTCACTCCGGCTTACTTTTCTTTTCGCTGTCAGTATACCTAGTACTCGGTCACCAGGCCCGTGCCAGTCACGGTGGTAGTTGCAATACATCTTATGCTCATCACTGTTCTCATTACAAACACCGTTCTTGAAAAAACTTGAACTTCATTTGTAAACTACAACACCGTCACGTGACGAACGATGATCCTTCATCATGATTGCTGCGGCACCATCAGTGATTTGGCTTGCATTCCCACCCATCGTACTCGTGAACTCATCCAACTTGATCTGGAAGTGGAATATAGAATATAGGAATGGCACGTCAAGCTTAAGGCTCGTCAGTGCCGCGTCACATGCGCATCATGCCGTGTCACGACCGCGGCAGGTGCGGCAGGACCGTGTCAAAATAGCTATGCCCGACAACTTGGGGTTGTGACAAATTACAATGCTGCTTCTCATTTTTGCTGGGTACAACTTGAAAGGTCGGCAGCCCGACTTCCATTTACGTGGTTGCTACAAGTTCTGAAGGAAACATTGTTGGGCGTCTAAGTCCTGCTGCATGTCAATGCCGCTGTGGATTCCGGAATCCTTTAATCAAACATTATTCTTGACATGCCAGCAGAGACCTGCCTGCTTTCGCAGCAAATACCACAGCATCTTTCCTATCTGTATACCCTTTCAACGACAGGACACCAGCAAAGCAACCTAGGCCGCCGGTGTAACATATGGTGAGCAAGGTTGGTTCCAAATGGTTCCAAATTAGGTGCTCGCACTAAGAGGTGTACAGACGACTAGAACACCGAAGAGAGTAGAAGTAAACCAGCGTGCACTGGTCGATAAAGTGCTCGCTCGATATCCTGAAGAGTTTACAGGTTCGTCAAGCCACTATTCTGGGTAGTGCGGTTGACTAAATGTGCTCAGTGTTCCGAGAACTATTACAGAATGCAGACGATGCTAGAGCCAAGAAGGTCCTAATAGAGTTTCAGACGAAGGACTACGCTACACATTCTGCAGGAGCAAACGGCAAGACAAATGGAATCAATGGCACAACCGATTTCCCGGACTTGGTCACAATGAAGGTGAGCTCGGGGCGGTGCTGCCCTCGGAATTACTAATGCTTAGCATCCCAACAGTTGTACAAATGGGTTGTTCGCAACAATGGTGATTATTTTGAAGATAAGGACTGGGGACGACTGACGAAGATTGGTATGATGGTTCAATTCTCAAATGATCCACCCTGACTTTTACCCAGCAGATGGCAACCCGGACGAACAGAAGATCGGGGCATTTGGAGTTGGTTCGTAGAGTTATGTATCGCCGTCAATTGGCCTTCTCATGAAGTTATTCTCTAGGGTTCTACAGCATCTTCGGTATCACTGATAGCCCCCAGGTCTTCTCTGGAGGTAAGCGCCAAGCTCTTTCCTTGACTAGATCCACCATGCCAATTGGAACACCTGATAGGTAAAAGCCTGTCGATATTCTTTCAAGGCGATCAGGTATGCTCGGAAGCTCCATAAGCTCGGTAAAAGCTCGCAATACTCACATATCTCTCCAGCTATATATGTTGGACAATACTTGTCCCCAGAGCGAGTGGACTTCCATCGAGATGCAGCTGAAGGAAGATATGCAAGTTCCCGTCCCGAAGCCATTCGATTTGGCCCGGTTCTTGGCAACTACTATGACATTCATGTCATGTGTGGAAAATACCCATGTTTTTTTCAATGACAAAATCTTCATGAAGATCGCCAAGTCCAGACAAGTACCCAGCTCCATTCGTGTTCCCAAAGATATGATACCGAGGAGCAAGGAGGACACGATGCATATCAAGGGACTTTCAGTAGTTAGTGGGTTGCATGTTGTATTCTCGGCACGTGAAGCATACTGATTTGCCCTGACAGCCCAAGAAATTTCTGTTGAACTCGCGGAATAGACACGCGCTGCCGGAACGAAGATGATATCTACACATCGCCCTGGCAATGAAAATCTATCAAAGGATCCTGTGAAACGCAAAGGTTTTTGGGATGGCTCAAAGCGCAAAGTCCCAAAAGTCGTCAAAGTCACTAAAGCTGTATCTCAAGCGTCGACTTATGATACTACATGTCCCGGATCTTCATCGTAGGCTCTACATATGAAACGTACTGATGAGTCGCAGGGCCAAAGTACAGCGCAAAGGTCTTTGCGCCCTCGCATGTCAACATTACGAGACGCATAAAGCCAAATTAGGTACGTACGGAAGCTGCCAACGGCTTCCATGTCCATTTATAGTCATAACATACTACTTAACATACTTTTGCGCTTTAAGGAGCCAGGACACCATTTTCTACCGACCGTGAACATTGGACGTTTTCAAGCACTCGCGGAAGCAGTCAATCCGTATATAAACGAAGCTACTGGCCAATCTCTATCCTCTCATCTTCTTTCCTATTCCTTGTCGCTCCCCTTCTTGGTGTCACTGTTGCATGGTGAGGCCAGTATGTCGCATGGTAATGGTGATGCGACTGTCGTCGACCCGGAAAGACAGCAGAGCGAGAATGGCCTTGAGCAGCCTCCAGAAGCCCAATTAGCATTCCTGGAGGCCCGGCAGAGACGCAAAATCGCCGAGCTGGAAGGAAAGATAGAGACTCTTGAGTCAGGGCGTGCGTCCAAAGAAAGGTATGTCTGTCAATGTATGTGTCGGGTTGGTTACGCTCAATAATCTGCCAGGCAAACGAATTACTATCTAGCTCAAGGAAGAGGCATCAGGCGCATCATCGCTTTATTCGACAACATTGAGGACCTCGTCACTGAGAATGACAGAAGATATGATGAGGACGCAGCCACTTTTGAGTAAGTTTTTTTTCGCCTGTAGTTTGTCACCAGTGTCCTCACATTTTATTTATTTATGTAGTCAAGACCGTCTGCAGACGGCGTATGATATACTGACGAGAACTTTTGCCATGGATCGTGGTGTGGTCCTCCGAAATAGAGCACGACGAGTATATACGCATGATTAAAATGGTATGTGCTGTTCCGATACTACTAATGGTCGACTTCATCACGACAATTATTTGTGTAGCTTAGGCAGGGAGCTGATGGAGCTCGAGGAGACAACACATCAAAACTCAAGGCTCTTGTTGCCGACTGGGTCAATCGTGAACTCAAACCGAATCCCCTGGTGGACCCCGACGATAAACATACTCACGGGTTTATCAACGACGTGTGTGGCAAGTTACTCTGCCCGGCCGAGCTGGACTGGAATAACCCAGCATATGTAGCACATTTGAAAATCCCGAGCAACATTAACTTTTTACCAGCACGAAGGCAGGGATTCGAGATCGCTCTCAAGGTTATATTGTGACAGAGCTATCTTTTCCGGCCTTTTTGTATGAAAAGTATACTGCCAATTTGGACGATTTAGAGGCAGGCCTTTTCAAAGGGCGAATTTTGGTGCAGGTTCGTGGCACTGAGTCGCCCGGCCATGATCTCACTGTTTGTTGCCAGGGTTTTAAGGCTGTCTTCACGTCACCCTCCTCAGCAAAGGACGTCGATGGCGACGGCGATGGCGCAGACATCATCGAGAACAATAGACACGCCAGGAGGGCTGGCTGGGGACTCAAGGCAAAAAAACATGTTGCGCAGATAATTAAGATGGAGAAAGTCACTCCTCGCTCGATTGCGTATATCGCCTGTCAAGTAAGTTGTCATGGTCATCATAATAGTGTTTGTTTTCTTATCTTATATTGACAGGTACGATTTGCACTTTCTTCCATCACGTTATGGCGGACCGTTGACGGTGACTTCGACTATATACAATTCTGGCGGTCCATCGTGGACTTCTTCAAATGACCCCCTGGTCAAGAAGCGCAGCATCGGGTCAACAAACTCCTTGAGTAGTGGACTAGGTGCATACATTATACTGATACTGCCAACAAGCCTCGACTGATATTATCAATTTATCTAGAAAGGTTTTTGGTAGGAGTTGCCGTGAGGACCTTACTGATGCTGCGAGGTCCGGCATGTCTGTCAATGCTCTTGCAAGACAGAGGGCGGAACTCGACGATGCTACTTTGGATTCAAACTAAGTGTCTATTATCATTTAAATACTATGTCGTGCTTTGATAATCCATGAATACCTTGATTCATACTATTGTGCCTCTGGCATTCTTGTTAAACATTATGAATGAATTTCACAATGATTCAGATATAATTCCGCCTGTGTGACTTTGATTGACTGAAAGGATGGATTTGCAAGATGAAAAGAATCAAAAGAATGTCGAATTCAAAGTTCTATTCATGATATTTGACACGGCAGGGGTGTTTTATTTCTGATCAGATTCTCCTTAGTGATCCCTAGTGCTCTTAAGATGTCCATATAATACCTAACTTAGCCCGACAACAACAAAAGTTCCAAACGAGCCAGGTCAGCGACCACTGAAGTAGAGCGGAATGTCGTCGTTGCAATATATAATATGTCCTAATAACAGATTTGTCGTTGGATAGAGGAGCTAAGCCACCAAGGTCGTGGATATACGTATATGCAATTGCCCTGGTACAGGGCAAAAAAACTCAATGTTGCTGATCGGCGTGGTGCACTATGTAAGGCCCTTGTGGATTATTAAGTAAGGTATTCAGGTGAGCCGTTACTCACTGCTTTCAACTTTCGCACCAGGGTACTACACCATTAAGGTGCTGCGTCTGCGCGATGCTATGACCCTCGTTGTGATGTGTCGCGAATGAATGCAATAGTCAAGCTATGACACAGCATAGCGGAAGGCCTTTGAGTAGCAAGCGCAGTATTCGAGTGAGGGATGGTCATCCACTGTGGATTTCTTCATCGATCTACTGCATGATAAATATGGACAAGTTCCCAACTGATAAATAGCCCGCAATCATCACCCGTATGAATAAGACAACCTCAATATCGTGGTTGCTATATTTTTCTAGAATCGTGCTCATAGGCCATTACAGATCTGAACAATCTCCAGAACACTGTTCAAGTTCCAATGCGCGGATCCTTCAGTGTGATGCGGATAGGCTGAATATACACAGTAGAGGGTAAATATCGTGGTCGCTGTATTGTTTCAGATTCATGTTCAAAGAACAATATAAAACCAAACAATCTCCATAGCACCGTTTAAGTTCTAATGTGCGGATCCTTTGGTGTGGTTTTGGAGTAGGGATCAGCAGGGGTATGGGCAACCCCTGGGGGTCGGGGGTAAGGGTACTTGAGGGTAGGGGTATGGGTTTGGATCTGGAGACCCCTGTACCCCTGGACAATTGGTAGTACCCCTGGGCCTAGGGATAATATATCCCCAAATTGATTATCATAGGAGTGATGGATAAGTATAAAATTTTGAAGTTATCAACAGTATAATGGTTATTGGGCTTATTGTGATCTTATATTGTGAGTTGGCTATTATTTGAGTAAGATATAAGTAAAATATAATCAAAGGAAACATTTAAGTTAGTTTAGATGGTTCATAATGTACAAGAGTTACTTGCCCATGGTTTGAGTCTCATCTACATACTTGGCTAGGACTAAAGAGGCATAAATTAAAGTCAGCCTACTATGTCTCTTCTAGCCAAGATGGTGACAATACCCCTGTACCCTTGTGATACCCTTGTACCCTTATAATACCCCTGGGTTACCCTTACCCTTGGTCTGAGGGGTAAGACCCTCCAGGGGTAGGGGTGTGGGTTGGGCTCATGATACCCAGGGGTTTACCCCTGGTGATCCCTATTTTGGAGAGCCGGAGTAGGACATAGGTTGTTTGTTACTTGCTCGGTCAACACATCTCGGTTAGTGTGCAAAGGTAATGCTTTTTCGCACGAATTCCCAACTGATACATAGTAGATGGCTGTCAGAATAGTTAACACATCATGTGTTAAAATTCAAGGTGGCACATATTAACTCAACTATTAGCTTTGCTAGACAATAATCTGTTTTTGCTCACTTGATGGACAACCGTCGTTCTCTGGAAGATGACGTCTTATCCTTTTGGTTTCGAAACTTTGTACGATAATGTTAAGGTTCAAAAGAGGTCGCGAAACTTACTGTTACCCACACGGGCTAACACATGGTCATCGCCTGGAAGGTATCGACCTTCACTTGTAGCTTCATAGTTGTGAAAATCCCTTCTGTTGTGGCATTTTTGATTCATCTAGCTCAACCATCAACTTTTGCCACACCTTCACTTCAACCGTGAGTTTGAGTGAAATCAGTACCTTTTCCCGATCATAAAATGTCGTAGGAAAATTAGGGAATCTCCTTTCCTCTATAAGGCCAAATATAACAATGTGATTGTCGATAGCAGGATTATGCTAGTTCTTGTGATTATGTACTATATATCGTGATATATAGTCTTCTACTTTCCTCACCGGTTCACTGATGTGGTGTTGCTGTTTTACAATACCCCGCACAATTTTGATCTTGTTAGTGCATGCATAAACTGGAATACGACACTATGTGAATTGGATCGTTAGAGAGCTAATGGTATTGGACGGACCTGCGACAAGTCTTCATAATCTCTTGCAGCAATGTTTGACACATTCCGACTATGAGAAGTTGCTGATGATGATACTAAGCAAGCCATAAGCCAACAGGCCTGGTCTGTGAAACATCGACCTGCAGTTGCTGGTTCTTCCCAGTAATACTCATCAAGACCAACATGACATCGATCCACCCTTCCAACAATACAATCTCAAAAAGAATGAGCATCGAGGATCGGAAGTTGTCAAAGGAGAATATCGTAGAAGGTGAAGGATTGTTCCAAGCACGAGGGGCCAGCCTTCTGCGCCTTCCACTCGGAATGCTCGTCATGGTCGTTCTCAGTCGTGTCATTGCCGTTGCCCACCTTGGCGAGAATATCACTACAAGTTCATGTCAGCAAAGCTGCCACTTATTGGATACCAGAAAGCTCACAGATAACGCCCTGTCTCTTCATTTTGCACTGCTGTCAACTCACAATGGCTTTGTCGTAAGTCCGCCAACAACACATCATTAGAATCCATAGTTCCAGAAAACAGTTGTTAAAGCATCGTCAATGATTTTGAAGGCAGATGTCTCGCACTCTTCAACAGAACGGATTTCTTTCGCATCAGGATATCAGCAGTTTGTCATCTCAGACACTCAAAAACACATACAGCCCCGTTTCGGTTGTGCTGTCTAACAACCCCATAATCCTGCACAAGCGTCTTCTGCATTGGTAAGACCAGGTTCGAAGGAAAGATTTCGACCTTGACGCGAACAGATCCGCCTTGATCCGTTGATATGGATTCAACTTGCGAGTCCAACTATTGTGCGTGACCCTTTGTGGGTGGTGTTGAACCCAGTAGTCCGATGCCTGTTTACTCTTCTTCGTTTCTTCTGCGACACTGAAGTTCTCGTGAATGACGGCGACAAACATCTGCATCATGATGACTGGAGAAAACAATGTGCGTCAATGAAGGAGGGCAAGCAATATGCACGAGCACTTTAGGCGACTTACAATTTGCAAATATAAGCCACGAGCATAAGAAAATAATCACGATCACCACCTGCCCCAGGGAAATCCCTGTAATTGCTGTCGAGTACAAGATGTTTGTCCAATTCTCGGAGGAAAAGAGCTGGTACATAGCGAGGAACGAATTCCACAACTGTCCGAAATTTAACCCAATCGAGTCATTCATATCACCGCGAATGAGCTCCACGCAGACCAACACAGCAAGGAGGTTGACGACCAGCAAGAAAATTGTCATGTTCACTAGACCATAAAGGTTTCCAAAGACCGTGAGCTGAGATGGTTTAGTTGTTTGTAAGATGTTCAGATGGTGACTAGACTCGCCATGAGCAGTTTCATTCTCGGGAACTCCAAAATCACCCTATAGAACCTCCCTAGTTGAAATATCATCAACCAGGGGTATAGCTCCGAGTTAATATCAGCACTGGCGGTGGCTTGTACCACGAGCGACATGAGAGCCAGAAACACCCAGCACCAGCGCATATGGGTGTAGAATTCCTTGAGTGGGTTGCTCTGAGAAATGTGTTTCCCGTCTGACCAACTTCGACGACAAGTCCTAGTCTGTAATTGGAATAACATTAGCGTTAGCACATGGAAAAGTCAAGAAACACACGGTGCAGCACCAAAGGCACTCTTCTGCGTATCTGCACGTATGGCAGAGAACGAGTTCGTTATCACAGCAATGAATAGATTGAGAAGCCAGATGTTCAACACAAGGATGCAGACAATGAAATAGAAGCAGGAGACAAAAATTCGGCATCGATGATCGAGTACATGATTGGGGACCACTGAGAGGAAATTAGCGCAACAGAAATATGAATAAAAAACACATACGCCATTGGCTGAAGTCACGACGACAACTTGAAGTGCGGCATAAAGCTCAACCAGAAGCTGAGAATGGCGATGAAGTGGATTCTTCCCCAACTTTGGCACAAGTATGACATATCACGATACACCTTGTCGTGTGCGTTATCGATGTTTAATCGGAATGGCAGTGTAAGGCTGAGTTCGAGTTCGAAGGGGAATGCTATTGATGAAGGGAGCTGTGAAATGCTGTAGCGAGAAATGAGTTTTCTTTCAGGAGAAGGCTCATCTACTATGATCTGTTTTTCTTGACGCGAAGCGTCATGAGGCAAACTGCTTGGACCAACTACTATGTCAGGCATCGAACATGACGGGGTAGCCTCAGAAAGTTTGAAAGGCCACGATATACGATCATAGAAGGGCCTTAAGGAGAGTCCGCGTGACAAGGAACCGGATGCGGAAGGACCTACCCTCAATGTCGACGTTATTGATGATGCAAATAAAGCTGATATTGGAACTTCAGGATCTAGCAGAAATCCAGAAACGCATATTTGGCATAGACTAATCCGAGGGAAGAAGGATCGAGTGAGACGCTTGAGATATCAATACGCAGGCAGTAAAGATTATTAAACAAAGTATCAGAGGTTCGGTCCATCTGCAAGGATGATTAATATTGTCGGGCGGGAGAAACCTAGAAGAGGCATACAGATGAGAAAGGAAGCCATAGAGGCGAAGACGAAAGGTGCTGGAGGACTCTAAGAAATTGAGAGTGCGCCTTCGTAAGGGAGTTAGCTTTCTGGTAAGGAACACTTGTCGTTCGTTCCATTGTTCTTCGAGGCTCCTTGTTATCTTGTGTGGGAGAATACTTGCCATCGTCGAAGTCTTCATCCGGTATGCGAATTGAATTGTCCAAGGCATGGCCTGACGACGCGGAGAGATGCGCGTTGAAGGTGCTTCGACATTACCATGAATGCTGAGCCCGTTCGTTTGGGAGGGGAAGGTGAGGAACTGTAACGCAGCGTCCTCCGCCTGGTGGGGCCTGCAGCACCTCCCGTGCGCTCAGAGTCACTGATGGTCAAATCATTAATATTAGCCCAACTTCCATCTGCAGATTTACATTGAGAATTGGTGCCAGTGAGATGGACATCGTCTCTGTCCTTGGATGAGTCAAGGTCAGACTCTGGAGTCGAAATTAACGAGGCGGAGGGTGGATCAGCTTGTGCAGCGGTATAGGAGAATGCATTGGAAGGACTTGTCTTTCAGCAGTGTAAGAGAAGAAATGTGTTGCATTAATTGGATTGATAATTTTCGCATGCAATCCTACATGGGTGAGTGACGATGTTAAGCGCTAAGCAGCTATAAGATTACCAATCAGAGCCTTGCAATGCCTGACATGGCGCCTGTAAGGCATGTAGCCATATTGGAACTCTACGCCAGGCTTACGGTATTTGCCGAGGCCTTGTCAGCCACTTTTGCTGATGCATTTTGGCCAATTTGGCGCCCTGCGTTCTCCCTTTCTCTACCGCTCTTGTCCCACTCAACCATATCAGGCCCAGAGTTCAGATCCTGTGGTGTATGCAGGATAGACTCAGCCATCAATGCCCTCGCCTTCGCACGCCAGCCGCAGTGGATTCGAAGGCGTGAGGAGCGCGCAAGCGATCTGCTGAGCCTGCGTAGGCGCGTTTTGCGGCTGCAACTCAAAGTCTGGAGCACGTCTGTACCCCCAGATAGCAACGTAGATCAACATGCTCCTAAGATCAGTGTAAATATTTGTGGGGGTGATGTTTTATAAGCGCACGCAGTAAGCCCAAACACAGGTTTCACGCCGTCTGCTTCGCGTCCGGTGAGGAAACTATGCATGCGGATTCGACCGCCTCCGCTCCATTCCCACTCTGCCGTCGTGTGGTAGGGTATCGAAGGATCTGGAATACGGTATGGGTGGAAAGGGAAAGACTATGCGAGGAAGGAAGCGAGCGGTCGTGAGAATATCGAGGTCACCTCCGACTCGTTGAGACTAGGCTATGACCCAAGAAAGTTATAACATCTAATGACACCCCCAACATGAATTCAATATACTTGCATAGTGTTGTCGAGAATGAGCACCACAACCCTAGACAACTGTGTCAGTCGGCGCAAGACACCGGCGACACACTCACGGAGTCACTGCAAACAGACAAGTCAGACCAAGATTGACAAAGGAATTCCATATGGGTACCGCAGTATCCTCAGTAGTAATATCTTGGGGCTCCACCTTGCCTCCCGGAAGTGCAGTATCACCCGCATACTGCCTCAAGCTAGCTGACCGCCTTTTAATGGTACTTCAGTCACAAACAGGACACAGCTAACCAGGAGCTCACCGACTTAATAACACATACAGGTCCCCCGCACGACCCGATAAACAATGGAACCAGGACCGCCACGCTCTGACTCCGAGGGAACTTGACCTGTGTATGTTGTGCACGACCTCGACATCCCTATCTCTCATTTTCAAGGGGTCCTCGAGTTGCGTGCAACTGATCATCCGGATCGAAGCGTAACGCAGCTCCATCTTGCCATCGCTTTGCTCTTGCGGTTCGCAAAACGGGGATTTGAAACGGATGCTGATGCAGTCAACGGGTTACTGAGCGAAGTTCTCAAAGTCTGCCACGCCAACAGCCCCTCTACAAACACCAGATTATCTACTTTCCTTCCAATTTTCATCATGGTATCCGACATTTTCCTCCATTAGCATCAAAAGCACCATCATCCGTCCCTTGAGTCAAGCATTCAAGGAGTACCTCGACTCGGACGGCATTTTCGTACCAGAAGGTTCAGAAAACGTGTCAGTTGGCTACAATCACCATCTGTTTTAGTCGTACTCACTTCCCACTTCCAGTCCCGCAGAAAGCTCTCCTTCGGACCAAGAGGATGAGGACGACGCTGCAGTTGGGCAATCCTTCTCCTTCCCCGATCTAGATGAGCGGATAAGACAAATTATCAAAGAATACGGCGCCATTTTCCCCAAGCTCAATTTTTCTTCACCAAAGGTCAGCTCGTTCCATCGACATCGATCCCCGTTTCACATCGAACACAGGACGCATCATGGGTGCTACCACCATCCTCGCCTCTCAAATGCACATCTCCATCAGACGTCTACATCCTACTCAAATCCTCGGACTTCATATCACACGATCTAAGTATCGACGCGGTCTTCGAGGGATGCCAATGCGATTCCTTGAATCTGCCATCGTACCAACTCGAGCTTGTCTTGAGGAAATGGTATCCTATAGACCGGAGTCGCGAGTTCAGGTGTTTCGTTCGTGAAGGCCGTCTCATAGGTACGTCCTGTTTTCTGATTATTGTTCCAGCAAGCCACGAACGACGCTCGTACAGGGATATCACAACGCGGTACGAATTTCTATGACTTCATGAACGAGCCGCAAACACAAAACAAGATCTTAGAAACGCTTCAGCGTTTTTGGGGGGACAAGATCAAGTCTGAATGGCATGGACAGCAAGACTGTATGTGTCACATTGTTTTTGTCGTACTAGTCCGCGCACTCATCACACTTCTGAAGACGTCTTCGACGTGTTGATGACACGTGATCTGTCTCGGGGACATGATCCTATACTTCAACCCATACGCACCCCGAACGGATCCCCTGCTATTCACGTACGAAGAGCTCTTGTCGGTCTTCACGCAGGGGTCAAGCACACCCAAGCTCCGTATCATCGACTCGCCTTTACATCCGCTCGCATCGCGCAACGCACCAGCTTACCAACACAACATGTTGCCAATGGAAGCCCTCGCGTTGAGTAGCGGTCGGGACATCAACGACTTCTCAGATTTGTGGAAGAATGAGATTCAGCAGTCCTTGAATGACGACGACTAATAGACATGGTCTTCTTTTGAAAGATCGAACGGGTTTGTCCTATTCACGTACGGAGATCTTTTATCAGACCTGAGCTTCGTATCATCCAGTCACCTCTACATTCAGTTGTTACCTTCATCCTCGATGAACTAAACAATGCCTTATAATATACACCAGACCCGTATACTGACTTAGGTGCACAGTAAACTTTCAAACACCGCTTGGTTGACTCTTCAGTCTTCGAGTTAGAACTTGCGCTGCTTTGAACGACATTAAAATTCATTTAACGACCATGGATTTCGATTAGCACATTGCGACACCGAGGAGCTCAGCCGTGTCCTGCGCATCAATCATACTCCAAACCCCAGCCAATTGCGAAGCTCAGCGGAAAGAGCTCCTTCGCCCCTGTCTACTCGTGGTAAGACAGCTGTCATGGGTGCCAGTTGCGTGCTGATGTATCGTGTCAGTAGCTGCCAGATCTGCCACTACTAGTAATTTCATAATTATCGGACCACGAGGGGTCTACTGGTTAGCGTTTTCGTTTATCATCGAGTTAAAATGACTTAAGTGGAGCCCTTGTACCAGTACCATGGCGTTTCCGAAGCTTGAGTCGTAAAAAACAATACATCCGTAGCGGTGCGACAAATTTGCATTCGGCGAGGACATATCTCGGACGTTATGTGGAGGTGAGGGTACTTCCATCACTCCATAATTCAAAGTTTTGATATATTTGATCCCCGTGTAATCACACTGAACTTCCGTGATAGGTCGAAGCTTGTCACAGTGGGACACAACAGTATCTCTGCTCCTCAAGTGGCTTAGCGCTCAGCTATGTATAGTGGCCGCAACTTAGGGCTGCTCCTCGGTGATCCCCATGACATAATAACATCATTTTTGTTGTCCCCTAAAAAATTGCCGTCCTTCTCAACGTCCAGGTACCACACTCTGCTATGTATAGTCTTTGGAATGCCTATGGTTTGAGATCTTGTGCTTTAACTCCACATATTCACCCTGATAATGATTACAGTTACGCGGGCTAATGACTGGCCGCCTTATACACCGGTAATAAGGTATGTTAGGTAATATAGTGCAAGTTGGTAGCACTTAGTACTGAATGAATACAGTACAAGTTAGCGAAATCTTGGAGTGAACCGTATACAGATGCCTAGGTTCATCTATCTGGCTGGACTGTAAAGCAGATGTTCGGATACAAGACAAGTGCGAGAATCAACTAATTCTGGACAGCGAGTCAATTTCATTCCTGATCATCACATTAACTTCCTCCGTCGATGGACGGTCCTGAGGATCAGTAGACCAACATTGCTCAATAAATGGCCAATACTTTTCAAGGAGCTCAGGATAATGAGTTCGGGAGGGCCTTTCCGACCTAGATACGTACAGGACGACCATGTAGTCATGCCGGATGTGATGATAAAGGATTTTGTTGGTGAGGACCTAGAGGCAGAGCTCATGACATCATCAAGTTGAGACTATTCCGGGCGTACCTGCAACATGATACCGCCGAACGAAAAGACGTCGCTCTGCTTGCTTGGCCTCACTGGAGTTCCGTCCTCTCGCTCTCCAAGCAGCTCAAAAGCCATCCATCGTACATTGCCACTGAGGGTGGAAGTCCAGGGAGCCTGAGAGATGCTTATGACATCCGAATACATCAAGGAAAGACCAAAGTCGGCAACACACGCGGTGCCATCAGCATATATCAGCACGTTAGGCTAGAGATCATATCTCGATCAAATCAAAGTTATTGGGAGGGGGTCGAACTTACCTCGGTGAAGTCACCATGGATGACATTGTTAGCATGAACTGTGAGGAATGTTACTATTCCAAGTCTAGCACTGAGAATAACTAGCACGTACGATATTGCAGGCCAGTTATAATATCCCTCAGCTGAGATTGCCATCAGTTTGTGGTCTGCATGAAATACAAGAGACTTACGATCTGGAATTTTCTAAGGAGAGTAAGAGCCGCATCCTCACGTTTCAAATAATCCGACAGGTTGCCCCTTTCTGCCCAACGACTAACTATCGCTGGAAATGGGCCGAAGCCATACGTGTAACCATAAATGGGTACGATGTTCGCATGGTTGATGTTCGCAGATATTCTGAGTTCATGCATTATCCTCTACGAGCTGGCAGTCCATAAGTAATAGATGAAGTCCTTCGTCAAGAAACTCACCTTGGTCTTTTTCGTCCTTGCCGGCCCAAATTTATCATTAGCGCATACCTGCAATACTTTCACCGCGACCTGCCCAATTATCAATTTTGAACTGATGGACAAACAACACTGTGAAACGAACTTGGACTGGTACGCGATCAACGTAGTAGGTGCATTTCCAAATGTCTGCGAACCCACCACGAGCAAGAGGGTCGTTCCCAACCTTGGAGATATACTTTGAGAGGTCTTGGAGTCCTGTCTGATGGGGGTCGCCATGAGTAATAGGATACATCTCAGATCTCGACAGTGAGTCAAATTCGTTCCTGATCATTATATCAACTTCCTCCGTCGATGGATGATCCACGATCCCGAGGATCACTAGACCAACATCGCTCGATAAATGGCCAATACTTTTCAGGGAGCTCAGGATAATGAGTTCGGGAGGGCGTTTCAGACCTAGATAAGTGGAGGAAGATCATGACGTCACGCCGGAGGTGATGATAAGGAATTTTGTTGGTGAAGACCTAAAGGCAAAACTAGTAATATCAACCAAAGGTAGGGATTACCCCAGACGTACCAGCAACATGATACCGCCGAACGAATAGATGTCGCTCTGCTCGCTCGGACGAGTTGGAGATCCATCCTCCTTCTCTAGTAATAGCTCAGGACCCATCCATCGCACGTTTCCTTTGAGGGTGGAAGTCCAGGAAGCTTCAGTGACGCTTATGACCTTTGAATACATCAAGGAAAGACCAAAGTCGGCAATGCACGCAGTGCCATCATCACGGACGAGCACATTGGGCTGGAGCTCGCGTCTAAATAAAATGGAGCTATCGAGAAGATCGAACTTACCCCACTGAGGTTTCCATGGATGACACAGTTGGCGTGAACTATGAGGAATGGTTAGAGCTCGGGCGGGCACTGACAGTATCTGTCACATACGATATTGCAGACCAGCTATGATGTCTTTTAGCTAAGTGTTTCAATTAGTTCTGTGGTCTACCCAAAATACATCAAGAGAAGACTTGCCAACTGGAATCGTCTGACAAGAGTAAGAGCCGCACCCTCACGCTCCAGATAGTTGAACAGGTTACCGTTTTCTGCCCAAGGTGTGACTATCGCTGGAAATAGGCCGAAGCCATGCGTATAACCATAGATGGGTACAATATTTGCATGGTTGAGGGCAGCACAATTCCTGAGTTCACGATTTATCCTCTACGAAGTGGTGCCCGTGGTGTAAGTAATAGACTGAGTCCTTCGGTAAGACACTCGCCTGGATTGCGTTTGTCTTTCTTTGTTCAAAATAAACATCACTGTAGTACATTATTTGCATTGCGTTCACTGCGACCTGCCAAATCAAATTTTAGACAGATAAACAGACAAAAGACAGCAAACGAACTTTGATCGATGTCCGATCGATGTGAAAGGTGCATTTCCATATCTCCTTGAACCCGCCAAACACAGGTTTCACGCCGTCTGCTTCGCGTCCGGTGAGGAAACTATGCATGCAGATTCGACCGCCTCCGCTCCATTCCCACTCTGCCATCGTGTGGTAGGGTATCGAAGGATCTGGAATACGTCGTCAATAACCAGATTGACTGAATGCACAACTCCAACATACGAAGATTTCCGCCGGTGACATGGACGTCTCTGCACTGCCGGGGCATGCAGCATTAACAAAAAAAATGTCATCCAAGGCTAGAAAACACCGATGAGTACGACCGGCTGCTGACACCAACGAAAGGAAGGCCTACCAATATATCTCGCAGGGAGCAAATAGCAAGGTCGCGATCTAGCTAGTACTGGTGGCTAAAGGAAATGTGCCACCGAATGTAGTGCCCGAGTCCGTCCGAGCAGTGGGGAGGAGAGAAGGGGTTCCTTCAAACTGAATAAGCACTCAGTCACATGCCATGCGTGAGCTGCCTCAAAGCGAGCACTTGCATCACCGAAGTAGGCTGCGACTTGCGTTGAGAGCGAGGAGCTGTACCGCGAGGTCATGGTCGTGGCTGTATTTCGAGAGCGTGCCCTGGACGGGGAGCTGTGGATTTGGGGCGTTGTAACTGTAGTATAGAAGAACATTCACGCTGAACATAATCACACGAACGGACGAGAACGCGATAGCCTCGACCCACTGGGTACTGCGAGTGAGAATGGAACGACCCGAATTTTAGGAAAAGAATTGGTATCCTACAGGCCCCAGGTCTCACGGCATGTGACAATGTCACGGACTCCTGTAGAAACTATTTATCATAATTGCTCATCGAAAGGCTGGTGATTTCAGAATCTAGTCTTTGTAGAAGAGTGTGTCTTAAGTTCACAATAGTCTTTGTGGTCTTTGTACTAATACGGGTCAAGCTCGATCTGATAAGTCTTAAATCAGAAGGTTTGCCCAGTTCTTATATGTCAACCTTTGAAGCTTTGACTGTCACACCAGTGCAATGCCCTCCAACTCGAAGTCCCAACCGACAACAGGGCTTAAACATCATTTTTCAACCCTAGCAGTCGGAATAAAACTGGGATCCTTCGTCAGAGTTCCTCTCATTCACGATGTGCAGACGATGGATAAACTAACCACTGAAGAATTGAACCAGCTGGTTCTCGAGGAGCCTACGAGTTGTATCACTCGTAACGCCCCCCTCGGTCATCTTCTATCCATCATCTTCCAGTCCTTCAAGGTTCAAGCGCCTCGTGCTGAGGATCTTCGGGTACCTCTCTCTCAGATTCAATATTCCAATGAGCGGATTAATGATCAATTTCGTCAATATCAAACGACAGACTCCGTGGAACTGTGGGATAGTAAGGCGAAGAAGTGGAATTGGGGGCTGCCAGATCCGCCCCGAAAACAGTACGAGAGGGGTAAGAAGGGCAAAAAGGGTAAAAAAATCTGTGAAGAGGGATCGTTGGGGGAAGGAGGGAGTCAGGCGTCCAGAGGCAGTACTTCCGATTCAAACTCGAATGCTGAACATGTGGTTGCGGGATTTTTGAACGTCCTCACGGGGGCACTTTCTCGACATGGACTCAAAACCAATCAAGCGAATCGTATATGGAGTGGGGCCCACTCAACCGCCCCAATCAAGGGAGAAGTCATACCCCGCAAACCTGACATCGTTATGTCAGATGAACCAGACCCTGGGTGGGCAGGCATCAAGGTCGTCGTTGAGGTGACGAGTGGCAAGTACCGACCAGGGAAGCGTGCCGCGAAATCCCTTGATACCAAGGCGTATATCATCTTGAAGCACCAGCCCTGGAGACGCTTCGCCCTCATGCTATCTCTATGTCATCACCATCGTGAACTTCGTGTCCACGTATATGACCACTCCGGTTCTGCCGTATCCCCTCCTTTTCACATCGACCGACAGAAGGACAAATTCTTGCAAATCCTCTCGGCTATTGTCTTCGGCAGTGATGAGTGCATCGGCTTCGATACGACGATGAAAATTCGGCAACTCAAGTTGCCTATACTACCTCGTCGTTCCCGTGCTCCTAGGAGATTGCGTGCTCGGATCCAGAAGGACACCATTTGCGATGAACCTGGTACACTGGCCAAGTTAGGAGATGTAGCATCAGGCGAAGAGTCAGAAGAGGAGTCAGACGACTTAGATGACGAGTCAGGATACGAGTCGGAGTCAGCGTCATCATATAAACCTTCGCCCTCGCGTGGCCTAGAGGCTTTGGGCGACGATTCCTCATCAAGCGTCTTCTCCTCCCTTGAGCCAGATGAACGGCCTGATATCAGAACTGGTCCTCCTGCACTCCCTGAACTACCTCCCTTGGCTACTCCTGCCTCGCCACTTCCTTTCATTTCCCAAACTTCCGTTCCTCCGAATCCGTCGCCGATCGGCAAGATTCAAGTCAACGACAACTGGTACGATATCTTGGAGGTTATATGGTCAAGTCATGGCCTAGTTGGTCGTGGCACCGTTTGCTACTTGACTAGAAAGGATGATCAACAGTACATCATCAAGGACCACTGGGTCGCGGGAGATGCAAATGACGATATATTCAATGAGGTCATTATGTTGAAGAAGATGCAGGGCGTCCGGGGCGTCCCGGAACTCGTAGAATTTGGCAAGGTTAAGCTGTCGACTGGTGAGGTCGACAACACGAGGACGTACCGATACCGAGAGCTGCCCAGCTTAACTGGCACTTGGCGCACTCATTTTCGCCTCGTCATGAAGCCCCGGGGGCGACCTTTGCATAAATTTCAAACAAAGTTGGAATTTCTTCGAGCTATACGCGACATCGTGGCTAGTAAGCATTTCCCTTGCATGATGCATGTTGGTACTAACCAGTAAGTAACCTTCCAGCTCAACAGGAAGCGTATGAACGGGGCATTTTGCATCGCGATTGCAGCCTCCACAATGCGATGATCGAGGAAGCCGATGGCAATAGCCTCGGAATGTTGATCGATTGGGAATTTGCTGTAGTTATCGCACCGGATAATAAATACCACGTAGGTGGAACAGTAAGTTGATGATTAATTCAGTTCAGGATTCAATCCACTTACTCGACTTGCAGGGCACAATTCCATTCATGTCGCGGCGGATCCTGCAGCAAGTGAAAAAGATCTGGGTCTCTGAACCTGCAAAAAAGGGGGCGTCATCGTCATCACCTTGGACAATCGATTTTGTCGTGCAAGACTATTCAGATGATCTTGAATCACTGTTTTATGTCTTTTGTTGGATCTGTATCGGGTACAGCGGCCCTCTTGGCATAGAACGCCATTTGAACGCTTCGACACAGTGGCTTCTACATACGTGGAGCAACCGGAATATCGCGGGATGCTTTGACACCAAGATTTCGTTCTACACAACAGACGACGGCGAAGCTGCAATCCGAACGCAGTTTGACGACTACTTTAAGGATCTTGTTCCGCTTGCACTGGACTGGATGAACCTCTTGAGGCTCAATTTTCCGGTTCATTTCGAAGGCAAGACTGTTCACCGACCCATCAAATTTGATGCGTTGCTCAACATCCTGGACACACACATCGCCAGACTTCTCAAGGACATGCCTGAGCTGTCCCCTGAACGCTTGTTCCGCAAGAGGTTGGTAGATAAGAATGTAGAGGACGTGCATACATCAGGACTGATCATGGAGGACCGGGACCGCATCCGAGTCGCAGTGAAGAAGCGCGGTTTGAATGAAGACTGGACTGTCGAACCTGTGAAGAGGAGCAAGATATCCAACTCGGGGGGTAGCTAGACCGGTTTTGTCATCAATCTTGATTTCGTTGTACGCAGTAGTACATGGTTTTCGCTCGCGAAGTTTTTACGTCCTTACATTGCAGTATCATTACTTTTACATTCGTAATTTTGATCAAGGTTTCCTGGTACTTGAGTAATTAAGTTGCTCAGCGATCTAGTATTCGGGGTTAAACGCAATGAAACCTATCCGAGTTTCTCCAACTTGACATGTTATGTTATGGTACAAAATCCGCGCAAAACTTTAAATGCGTGACTCCCGGAAATGACCATTCGAATCAAGAATAGACCGTACTATCCCTTATGCATGCAATTGAGCGTGGGTCAGATCACAATATATATGTGGTACGTACTCTGGACCCTACACTGAGATCGATGCAGGCATCCCTGAAATTGAAGCATGGAATACCTATAACTGTCACTAAGGCAGTAAGTTTTATGTAATACTGTTATGATTGGAGCGTGGATTCACTTGGTACAATGGTCATTTATCCATCACTGGCTGAATTGGTTGGCATTTTGTGATACGGTATGATAGGAGATGGGATTGTTGGTATCAGCCTGAGCTCGTATATGCATCCCTGCACACTTTGTTAGTTAAGAGTTTTTGCAATAACACGATGGCTTACAGCGCGCGATGCTGATGATCTTCATAGATCATCGGAGGCTCCTTTATGTAAATATGTGTGTCAGTCCTAGTAACATGTAATTCTAGATGGCTAAGAGGTGGTTGGTATTGTGAGGGGCATGATTAGGGTCATGGACTATGGTATCAGCTTGAAAAAGCTTCATCTCTGCGCATCATTTAGTTTGAAATTTTCTACATAAAACAACGACTCACCCCGCGCAATGCCGATCTTAGGCGCTGTGTCAGGTTAGCGCAACCGCGTGCACAGTCTGCCGATCTTAGGCGCTGTGTCAGGTCAGCGCAACCGCGTGCACAGTCGCATATCAGCCGCCTCATCAGGCACGGTGTTGGCGCGTTGGGGACCTCGAGTCCGTAAATCAGGAACTGCGTCACGGTGACGCGGTACTGAATACATTACCGCCTTTGACGCGAGGTATTGAAGTTGCGTCTGTAAAATGAGAGTTTTAGTATAGGTGAGAATGATTAATGACGGGCGATAATCTTACGATGTTGTCGACGTTAATGCTGACGTGAGGACTATTCAAAACGCGAGACATGTTTTTTGGCTGACATTTTAATATCAATAGGGGCGTTTGAAAGATCGATCAATTTTCTTACCGTAATTGTTCCTTTTATAGCAGAGTATAGCAGTTGTAAGTGGTTGATTCGGAGGATGACAATTAATCGAAGCAAACAATCATCAATAAGGACATTCAGTCTCAGATCCAGTATTATGTAATAACATTGTCGCCGTTGCTTGTGCTACTAGTAGACAACTCTCGATCAACCGAAAAATACCGTTATGTCATCCTCCCACATTTCTTCATATTGCCACTCAGCAAACTTGGAGGCGCCTTTACTCAGTTTACTGCGCTCCTTTAGTGTACCAATAAGGCTGTCCTTGTGCAAATTTGAGGACATGTAGATGGACTCGAGGGCGGGGCAGGGTAGATTCTGGATGGGTAATAGAGCCGGGATTGCATTTGGTGTGCCATATAACGACAGATGAAGGAGCGTGGGAATAGCGTTCATGAAGAGAGTGAATGTGTTCACTGGTGCGTTGATATGGTAGCACGACAATTCCTGTAGTCTTGGAAACAAAAGATGAGTTGCGCAGTATTTCAGAATGTCGTCAGCTTTATCATCCTCGCCATCGTTCTGGGTAGGCGAATATGTGATACCAGATAAATTTGAAGACTCCGAGTTTAAGGTGAGCTTGATCAGGTTGGGGGCATGAAGCCCACTGAATAGCCCGACATCATTTCCAATACACGAATATCCGTAGTAAAGCTGCTGAAGCAGCGGAAGGGATACCCGACGTGAAAGTCCAGCCAGCGGGCCAGACTTCCTAAGCACAAGCTTTCGCAGGCGAGGACAAGCTTCAAGGATCCCTGTAAACTCATCAGACGTTGGCCTGACTTCTCCGCTGTGATGGGAGAGCTCCAGCGACTGGATAGAGTGACTGACAGTAGGCGACCGATTGGGGGTTGGGCCAAGAGTATAATGAAGGAAATTTGTCCAGTCTAAGTGAACGCCATATAGAGTTATGTCTCGCAGTTTTGGAAGGGGAGGAGATTGCGCTGGGGCATCTTGACTGGTAGGTCCAATCAAAGCGGCAAACATGAATCCGTCCACCATCTTCATTATTCCTGGACAGAAAAGCCAGAAGCGAGAGAGGTAGTCGTTGGTTCTCACAAGCTTTATGGACTCAAGACGCAGAGCGCTTGAGCCCTCTGTCCTGCGCTCGTTGAGAATTTGGAGGGCGCTGTGAATCGGCATCCAAGTGTCACTGACAATTTCCAGCGAACGCCATCGATACATCTCAGGAAATAAAAGATCGAAAATGGCGGGCATACAGTCAGCAAATCGGGCCCTTGTTTTAGTGAAATCCGTTTTTCTTCTCCTAAAGGCAGACGTTTAGACAGCTGTACTCAACTAAAATTAATGTGCATCTTACATCATTTCTTCAGTAGCTGACATTCGTCCTTGTTGCGCTCGGATAATAATATCCACAGAGGACCGTCCTGATCGTGTGATCATTGTGGTCAACAGTGTCAAGCCCCCGTCGGTTTGGTTGCGGATGACCTGATGAAGATCAATAATGAGGCTTGACCACAAGCTGTGGTTGCAGATTGCGACTGTTCTCCAGTGCAGGTTCACCGATGCAAGTGCATGCGGCATCATCATGACACTTCGAAAGAATTTACGGGATGTACCATGTACGGCCAGCATGAATATTTTCGAAAGGATTTCCACAGGAAGTTTACGAATATAACACGGTTGGGGAACCCGGTGAGTCATGGTGGATCAAAATTTGAACAGGAAGAATTTGGAGCGACTCAACTACCCATGGTCAGTCATATTTAAGCGGCAAGCCTGGTTGTGTATGTGTTATCCCTTTGGTTCCGCATGGAAAATAATGCAGAGCAAACTTACCACATGCAAATAACCGTATGACTCGGAGCGCCTTGAGAAAAACAGCTACGAACGCATAAATGGGTCAATGCATTCAAGCGAGATCCGGGTAGAGGCATGCGCAGTAGCGTCCCAGGAGCTCACCTATAATGTTAAAACGTTATAGATTAGCAGCTCTCGGTAAGTCCGATTGGTGAGGAGCCACCAAGCGAGCCCCTAGTAGACTAGGTAATACGGGCGCACGTCAATGCAATTCGCTTCGATTGCAGTTATAAATTAAATGACTGTTGAATATTAATCACATACATGATTGAGTGCGATAGGCGACGGCCCAATGCAAAACGTTGTTGTATGTATATGGGAGTATGACTCGACGTGACAATGGCAAATGCGGGTAACTGGTTTATTTGAGTTTAAGTCTAGAAAAAAAGAAAATGCCGCCGTGTACTTCACGATCGTGAGAAATGATAATTGAGTCAGAATTTCTGAGTGGCTGCAATGCATGACGGTGATCTGTACATAATTTGTATACTCAAGAGGCACGCGCACCGAAAGAGCTCACTGGGTTTTTACATATGATACGTTATGTTATGTTATGTTATAAAATCCGCGTAAAGTTTAGTGTGACTCACGGTCTATTCGTGAGCCGCTTTTCAGGGATTAGAAAAAAAAAGACTTACCGTACGTCACATCATCGGGCGTTCTCGACTGTTCTCATGCCAATGTGCTTCGGCAGTGACCGCAAATTATATCCGCTTCGAAATGGCCGTCCCGGAAGGCCATTAATCTGTTGCGTGTAAATGCAGCCGTTAAATTCTTGACGTCAAAGTGCTCATCAGGCGAATTGCATATCACGTAAGTCTACCGATGAGCAAGTGCCAGCGAACGTAAATGCACACGATCTCTCTCCGCTCTATGGCACACATGAGATAATTAGAACAGATCGTCCTGGTGCTGAAGCGGGAGGCCACAATTCTAACATAAATTGCACTCGCATAAGTTCTCGTTACAATTAGTTCCCTAGACCGCGTCCGTTCCCCTCCCTTTCCAGAGTTACATTGGACGCTCCCTGCCATGCAGTACCCGGATGAAATCAACGATCTTGCCCAGCTAACAATGGAGGAATTCGTCGGCCATTCCCAGCATTTGTTTAACCAGATTAAGGATCTTCCTTCAGAGGTCGACTTCATTCGCTTCGTATTGGCAGGTAGGGTTGGACAGCAAGCGGCTGATGAGCCCGACCAGCATCATATCACTTTGAATTGCCTGCAAGGTCTCCCTCCTCTTCCTCAGACTCGAATCAGTAGGGACCTCGACTCTGCCATCGGAATATCTCGCACGTTACCCTATACAAGCGCTTTGGCAATCTGGCCCATTCCTCCTTTCAAAGAGATGCTGACTAAAGATAATCATACCCAGAGCCATGCATACGATGCTCAGGTGAGACCAGTCAATGTAAGTCGCTAGTGGCGTATTCTGATCATGGTACCAGGGCGATAGGATTTTCGTTCCTATGCACAAAATTCCTAACGTGCCATTGGGAAAGGTCCAACAAAGGCATGTAGTGCGGATCTTCTTTCCCCGGCTCTACAGTGCAGACGGTGTAGTTCTGGTGTCTCAAGAGGATTTGGCCCTCCTTTACGACCATTGCCTGCGCCCCACACTATTAGAGGTTCTGCCGGAATTCGCTGATCGGGCGCCGACATCATACGCTGCCGCATACATGCAATCAAAGACCCGCGCCGGGGGGCTCGCGTTCAACACCCTAGACATCCCTTGGAATAGATTGGAAGAGGTTGCTGAAATATTGCTGGCCAAACTTCAGGAGCAGAAGCCTGCTTTCAGGGACGCGTATTTTGTCCACGAGCTGAGGGGAACGAAGGGGAGTACTATACACGATGGTGAGAAAGATTGGGAGCGACAGATGGCTTTCGAAGAGATGTTCGAGCATGTCGATGTCGATAACTTGAATCCTCGGGAGTGGCTGGTTGATGTCGCTCTGACTATCGGAGTAGACGGACATGTCGTCACATGGCGCAAGTCTTGCCATAAGGACCTCCTCGGGCACCTTATGCCTCTCGCATGTCCTCGAAAAGTCGCTGCCCTTACCAAGAACAAGAAAAGGTTCCACTTTGACCGCACCCTACAGATGAAAGAATTAGCCGGCTTCCGTGCAACTACCGCCGATTTTACAGGCAATGATGGAATAACATACGTGCAGGCCTATTGCACTGCGAAGAATGCGACGTACCAGATGAACCCAGGGGTGTTCCGCCGACGACAACCCAAAGAATTGTTGGAAAAGAAGACCGAAAAGAAGATAGTGGAGGACCTGGACGTCATGAGCCAAGTATTCTATGAATGCACTGGCGAAGGAGATGTAGAAGGACGCGATGGTTGCGCCCGCTTGGAGATTCGGATTCCACTGGACAAGGCTCAGGACTCTTTGGTGACTCTCCCTCGTGAACTGGTTGAGCGCTACGTGGTTGCCATCAGTAGACGTGTATGGTGGTAAGAACGCACCTGCATCGATATTTTATTGTGACTTGACAAGTGTTCCAGGTTTTTGATTTATTATCGCCTGGGCGCAATACGTCTGGTGTTCAAAAATTTGGCCGAAGCCGATCCAAGGGTACGTGCTCTGGACTCTACACTGGGCCTGGAAGCGGCATGCATTTACATAATGAATGCCTGTTTCACTCGTCCTGCTGAGGGGTTCGGGTGGGAGGATTTGATCGAGAAGTGTTGCCAGCAAGTGCTAGAAGACCTCGAAGCGGACCTCGAAGACACCCCTACCGTACCCATCCTATATGACAGCGGCACGTACTTTATTTGCGATATTGTCATGAACACAGGACGCCCCACGTTTCTACGACTGCCACTCCAGAGGACCTTTGACCCGGAGTCCATGGCTCGCATTTACCACAAAGCGTCTATAAATGATGTCAAGGCCTCGTTTGATTGGAGTAATTTTGTATCCAGCAAGCAACCATCCAACGCTGCAAGAACGCATAATCGCAACCGGAACACTAGAAATGTTGATGATGTCAGAGATCCGGAACGTCGGGTCTTAGATATTCAAATCAGGGACGTCCCTGTCAAACCCGCAGTACGCTTGGCAGGTAGGGACGTGGACTTGCATGTCTTAAATGGGGGCGATGAACGAGACCTTAACGAGGCGGGGGATGATATGCAGGACGAACTCTCAATTAGCCAGCGTGTTGCCAAGATCTATGAGCAGTGCATCTTTGACGTCATTGAACAAGCACCCAACAGGAAATCTAAGCGGGAGGGTTCATACCTCACCATCCCTGTCGACAGACGCATTGATCTGGCACAGCCGGAGCTGCTACAGGTCCTTGAACTGCCATTCGATCAAGCTCAGTACTGCGTATGCACTCCAGATCAGTGGAAGATGCACTTTGACCGCATTTTTCCCTCTTCCGTCCAGGAAGCTCGAGCCAGCGGTCAGAATTTTCCTAGTTGTTCCTACTACAAGAGTTACATTGCTCTTGCTAGCACTGTAAACGACGCAGGTCTGGTTAAGATCAGATGTGCGCTCAGGAAGGAATTTGACAAACTGGCATGGGCACCATGGACATCCACGGATCGTATGTGGGGAACAGGCGCAAAGACCAGCAGAGCATGGAAAGTGCTTCCTCGGGAGAAAAAAGGAGGCCCAATGATCGCCATCAACCCTAGACGCCATAACCAACGAGTCAGCCTGCGTGCGTTTGATCAACCTGACGAGAATGATGTTACGGACGCTGAGGAGGAGTGAACTTTCTTGTTGTCCATTTCGTCATCTTCCCATCCGCTTTGTAGTATTAACCTAGTCTGCGCCATGTAGTCAGTCTGCATTTTTGTTATGATGTTTACTTAACTTACTATGACCTTGAAATTAAAGGTTCGGTAGTTGCTGTCGCGGCCCACAATATTATGGTGCACAATGGAAAACCGAGTACACTGCAATGCTTTTTGACCAAAAAAAACACTGATGATAATTGGAACTACATTACGCAAGGTTCCAAGCAATGATACTCACATATTTCGTCCAAAGTGAGGACATAATAATATGACGATTGCTGTACGGGGCTGGTTCGGTCACTTTGTTTATGCAGAAGCAAGTGCCATCCACACATGCAACGAAGCATCATGATAACCACTCACTAAGGAAATAAAAACCCACGAACATCAATTGCGTAGACTCTAAACCGGCGCAAAGTTTCCGCGGACTCTTAGAAAGTAATCTCAAACATTCCTCTGCTTCGGGAGTCGGGGACAAACACACTTTCCTCTCCTATAGCTTTTGTGATCGCTGTTCATCTATTTCTATTTCCTCACCCTCCAGTCTCGCGTTTCTTGGTGCCCGCAACTCCTCTTGCGATACTGCCTGGACTGCCGAAGAAGATGAGCCACTCTTTTGCTTCGGTTGGATCATGGATGGCAGCCTATTGCAGTCGATCCCTGCAGTGAATATCATGGGAAATGATAACTGTGCGAATGTCATCTCACCCAATACACTCGATAACTTCCAACTTGATCGGTGCAATATTCATCGATGACACCGAGCGAGCTGAGATGTACGGCGCAGGTGCGAGCAAGATAACTTTACCAACACGTCAGTAACATCCGACTTATTTGAGACTGTTGAATACTATTCGCTAATGTCAGTTGGCTTTCCATACCTCATTCTCTGGCTGATCTTCCTGGGCACCACCTGGTCGACGACCTAGCTCTCAGGACAGATTGTCATCCACCCCGCTACTCTCATATCTCGAGATACATGGCAGCGTACCCAAACTCTTTTTCTCGTCTTTTCGCGCAACCCTATTTCAAGCAATCTGCCGCGCGATCGCCTAGATGCATGTCTTTTTTCATCAGTTTTTCCATTGCGCAGTGGGCTCAACGATGATAATGCAGTTCTCCGCTACATCAATCCTACCTCTCAGCTCCTCGCTCTCAACGCAAGTCGCAGCCTACTTCGGTGATGCAAGTGCTCGCTTTGAGGCAGCTCACGCATGGCATGTGACTGAGTGCTTATTCAGTTTGAAGGAACCCCTTCTCTCCTCCCCACTGCTCGGACGGACTCGGGCACTACATTCGGTGGCACATTTCCTTTAGCCACCAGTACTAGCTAGATCGCGACCTTGCTATTTGCTCCCTGCGAGATATATTGGTAGGCCTTCCTTTCGTTGGTGTCAGCAGCCGGTCGTACTCATCGGTGTTTTCTAGCCTTGGATGACATTTTTTTTGTTAATGCTGCATGCCCCGGCAGTGCAGAGACGTCCATGTCACCGGCGGAAATCTTCGTATGTTGGAGTTGTGCATTCAGTCAATCTGGTTATTGACGACGTATTCCAGATCCTTCGATACCCTACCACACGATGGCAGAGTGGGAATGGAGCGGAGGCGGTCGAATCTGCATGCATAGTTTCCTCACCGGACGCGAAGCAGACGGCGTGAAACCTGTGTTTGGCGGGTTCAAGGAGATATGGAAATGCACCTTTCACATCGATCGGACATCGATCAAAGTTCGTTTGCTGTCTTTTGTCTGTTTATCTGTCTAAAATTTGATTTGGCAGGTCGCAGTGAACGCAATGCAAATAATGTACTACAGTGATGTTTATTTTGAACAAAGAAAGACAAACGCAATCCAGGCGAGTGTCTTACCGAAGGACTCAGTCTATTACTTACACCACGGGCACCACTTCGTAGAGGATAAATCGTGAACTCAGGAATTGTGCTGCCCTCAACCATGCAAATATTGTACCCATCTATGGTTATACGCATGGCTTCGGCCTATTTCCAGCGATAGTCACACCTTGGGCAGAAAACGGTAACCTGTTCAACTATCTGGAGCGTGAGGGTGCGGCTCTTACTCTTGTCAGACGATTCCAGTTGGCAAGTCTTCTCTTGATGTATTTTGGGTAGACCACAGAACTAATTGAAACACTTAGCTAAAAGACATCATAGCTGGTCTGCAATATCGTATGTGACAGATACTGTCAGTGCCCGCCCGAGCTCTAACCATTCCTCATAGTTCACGCCAACTGTGTCATCCATGGAAACCTCAGTGGGGTAAGTTCGATCTTCTCGATAGCTCCATTTTATTTAGACGCGAGCTCCAGCCCAATGTGCTCGTCCGTGATGATGGCACTGCGTGCATTGCCGACTTTGGTCTTTCCTTGATGTATTCAAAGGTCATAAGCGTCACTGAAGCTTCCTGGACTTCCACCCTCAAAGGAAACGTGCGATGGATGGGTCCTGAGCTATTACTAGAGAAGGAGGATGGATCTCCAACTCGTCCGAGCGAGCAGAGCGACATCTATTCGTTCGGCGGTATCATGTTGCTGGTACGTCTGGGGTAATCCCTACCTTTGGTTGATATTACTAGTTTTGCCTTTAGGTCTTCACCAACAAAATTCCTTATCATCACCTCCGGCGTGACGTCATGATCTTCCTCCACTTATCTAGGTCTGAAACGCCCTCCCGAACTCATTATCCTGAGCTCCCTGAAAAGTATTGGCCATTTATCGAGCGATGTTGGTCTAGTGATCCTCGGGATCGTGGATCATCCATCGACGGAGGAAGTTGATATAATGATCAGGAACGAATTTGACTCACTGTCGAGATCTGAGATGTATCCTATTACTCATGGCGACCCCCATCAGACAGGACTCCAAGACCTCTCAAAGTATATCTCCAAGGTTGGGAACGACCCTCTTGCTCGTGGTGGGTTCGCAGACATTTGGAAATGCACCTACTACGTTGATCGCGTACCAGTCCAAGTTCGTTTCACAGTGTTGTTTGTCCATCAGTTCAAAATTGATAATTGGGCAGGTCGCGGTGAAAGTATTGCAGGTATGCGCTAATGATAAATTTGGGCCGGCAAGGACGAAAAAGACCAAGGTGAGTTTCTTGACGAAGGACTTCATCTATTACTTATGGACTGCCAGCTCGTAGAGGATAATGCATGAACTCAGAATATCTGCGAACATCAACCATGCGAACATCGTACCCATTTATGGTTACACGTATGGCTTCGGCCCATTTCCAGCGATAGTTAGTCGTTGGGCAGAAAGGGGCAACCTGTCGGATTATTTGAAACGTGAGGATGCGGCTCTTACTCTCCTTAGAAAATTCCAGATCGTAAGTCTCTTGTATTTCATGCAGACCACAAACTGATGGCAATCTCAGCTGAGGGATATTATAACTGGCCTGCAATATCGTACGTGCTAGTTATTCTCAGTGCTAGACTTGGAATAGTAACATTCCTCACAGTTCATGCTAACAATGTCATCCATGGTGACTTCACCGAGGTAAGTTCGACCCCCTCCCAATAACTTTGATTTGATCGAGATATGATCTCTAGCCTAACGTGCTGATATATGCTGATGGCACCGCGTGTGTTGCCGACTTTGGTCTTTCCTTGATGTATTCGGATGTCATAAGCATCTCTCAGGCTCCCTGGACTTCCACCCTCAGTGGCAATGTACGATGGATGGCTTTTGAGCTGCTTGGAGAGCGAGAGGACGGAACTCCAGTGAGGCCAAGCAAGCAGAGCGACGTCTTTTCGTTCGGCGGTATCATGTTGCAGGTACGCCCGGAATAGTCTCAACTTGATGATGTCATGAGCTCTGCCTCTAGGTCCTCACCAACAAAATCCTTTATCATCACATCCGGCATGACTACATGGTCGTCCTGTACGTATCTAGGTCGGAAAGGCCCTCCCGAACTCATTATCCTGAGCTCCTTGAAAAGTATTGGCCATTTATTGAGCAATGTTGGTCTACTGATCCTCAGGACCGTCCATCGACGGAGGAAGTTAATGTGATGATCAGGAATGAAATTGACTCGCTGTCCAGAATTAGTTGATTCTCGCACTTGTCTTGTATCCGAACATCTGCTTTACAGTCCAGCCAGATAGATGAACCTAGGCATCTGTATACGGTTCACTCCAAGATTTCGCTAACTTGTACTGTATTCATTCAGTACTAAGTGCTACCAACTTGCACTATATTACCTAACATACCTTATTACCGGTGTATAAGGCGGCCAGTCATTAGCCCGCGTAACTGTAATCATTATCAGGGTGAATATGTGGAGTTAAAGCACAAGATCTCAAACCATAGGCATTCCAAAGACTATACATAGCAGAGTGTGGTACCTGGACGTTGAGAAGGACGGCAATTTTTTAGGGGACAACAAAAATGATGTTATTATGTCATGGGGATCACCGAGGAGCAGCCCTAAGTTGCGGCCACTATACATAGCTGAGCGCTAAGCCACTTGAGGAGCAGAGATACTGTTGTGTCCCACCTGTGACAAGCTTCGACCTATCACGGAAGTTCAGTGTGATTACACGGGGATCAAATATATCAAAACTTTGAATTATGGAGTGATGGAAGTACCCTCACCTCCACATAACGTCCGAGATATGTCCTCGCCGAATGCAAATTTGTCGCACCGCTACGGATGTATTGTTTTTTACGACTCAAGCTTCGGAAACGCCATGGTACTGGTACAAGGGCTCCACTTAAGTCATTTTAACTCGATGATAAACTGAAAACGCTAACCAGTAGACCCCTCGTGGTCCGATAATTATGAAATTACTAGTAGTGGCAGATCTGGCAGCTACTGACACGATACATCAGCACGCAACTGGCACCCATGACAGCTGTCTTACCACGAGTAGACAGGGGCGAAGGAGCTCTTTCCGCTGAGCTTCGCAATTGGCTGGGGTTTGGAGTATGATTGATGCGCAGGACACGGCTGAGCTCCTCGGTGTCGCAATGTGCTAATCGAAATCCATGGTCGTTAAATGAATTTTAATGTCGTTCAAAGCAGCGCAAGTTCTAACTCGAAGACTGAAGAGTCAACCAAGCGGTGTTTGAAAGTTTACTGTGCACCTAAGTCAGTATACGGGTCTGGTGTATATTATAAGGCATTGTTTAGTTCATCGAGGATGAAGGTAACAACTGAATGTAGAGGTGACTGGATGATACGAAGCTCAGGTCTGATAAAAGATCTCCGTACGTGAATAGGACAAACCCGTTCGATCTTTCAAAAGAAGACCATGTCTATTAGTCGTCGTCATTCAAGGACTGCTGAATCTCATTCTTCCACAAATCTGAGAAGTCGTTGATGTCCCGACCGCTACTCAACGCGAGGGCTTCCATTGGCAACATGTTGTGTTGGTAAGCTGGTGCGTTGCGCGATGCGAGCGGATGTAAAGGCGAGTCGATGATACGGAGCTTGGGTGTGCTTGACCCCTGCGTGAAGACCGACAAGAGCTCTTCGTACGTGAATAGCAGGGGATCCGTTCGGGGTGCGTATGGGTTGAAGTATAGGATCATGTCCCCGAGACAGATCACGTGTCATCAACACGTCGAAGACGTCTTCAGAAGTGTGATGAGTGCGCGGACTAGTACGACAAAAACAATGTGACACATACAGTCTTGCTGTCCATGCCATTCAGACTTGATCTTGTCCCCCCAAAAACGCTGAAGCGTTTCTAAGATCTTGTTTTGTGTTTGCGGCTCGTTCATGAAGTCATAGAAATTCGTACCGCGTTGTGATATCCCTGTACGAGCGTCGTTCGTGGCTTGCTGGAACAATAATCAGAAAACAGGACGTACCTATGAGACGGCCTTCACGAACGAAACACCTGAACTCGCGACTCCGGTCTATAGGATACCATTTCCTCAAGACAAGCTCGAGTTGGTACGATGGCGGATTCAAGGAATCGCATTGGCATCCCTCGAAGACCGCGTCGATACTTAGATCGTGTGATATGAAGTCCGAGGATTTGAGTAGGATGTAGACGTCTGATGGAGATGTGCATTTGAGAGGCGAGGATGGTGGTAGCACCCATGATGCGTCCTGTGTTCGATGTGAAACGGGGATCGATGTCGATGGAACGAGCTGACCTTTGGTGAAGAAAAATTGAGCTTGGGGAAAATGGTGCCGTATTCTTTGATAATTTGTCTTATCCGCTCATCTAGATCGGGGAAGGAGAAGGATTGCCCAACTGCAGCGTCGTCCTCATCCTCTTGGTCCGAAGGAGAGCTTTCTGCGGGACTGGAAGTGGGAAGTGAGTACGACTAAAACAGATGGTGATTGTAGCCAACTGACACGTTTTCTGAACCTTCTGGTACGAAAATGCCGTCCGAGTCGAGGTACTCCTTGAATGCTTGACTCAAGGGACGGATGATGGTGCTTTTGATGCTAATGGAGGAAAATGTCGGATACCATGATGAAAATTGGAAGGAAAGTAGATAATCTGGTGTTTGTAGAGGGGCTGTTGGCGTGGCAGACTTTGAGAACTTCGCTCAGTAACCCGTTGACTGCATCAGCATCCGTTTCAAATCCCCGTTTTGCGAACCGCAAGAGCAAAGCGATGGCAAGATGGAGCTGCGTTACGCTTCGATCCGGATGATCAGTTGCACGCAACTCGAGGACCCCTTGAAAATGAGAGATAGGGATGTCGAGGTCGTGCACAACATACACAGGTCAAGTTCCCTCGGAGTCAGAGCGTGGCGGTCCTGGTTCCATTGTTTATCGGGTCGTGCGGGGGACCTGTATGTGTTATTAAGTCGGTGAGCTCCTGGTTAGCTGTGTCCTGTTTGTGACTGAAGTACCATTAAAAGGCGGTCAGCTAGCTTGAGGCAGTATGCGGGTGATACTGCACTTCCGGGAGGCAAGGTGGAGCCCCAAGATATTACTACTGAGGATACTGCGGTACCCATATGGAATTCCTTTGTCAATCTTGGTCTGACTTGTCTGTTTGCAGTGACTCCGTGAGTGTGTCGCCGGTGTCTTGCGCCGACTGACACAGTTGTCTAGGGTTGTGGTGCTCATTCTCGACAACACTATGCAAGTATATTGAATTCATGTTGGGGGTGTCATTAGATGTTATAACTTTCTTGGGTCATAGCCTAGTCTCAACGAGTCGGAGGTGACCTCGATATTCTCACGACCGCTCGCTTCCTTCCTCGCATAGTCTTTCCCTTTCCACCCATACCGTATTCCAGATCCTTCGATACCCTACCACACGACGGCAGAGTGGGAATGGAGCGGAGGCGGTCGAATCCGCATGCATAGTTTCCTCACCGGACGCGAAGCAGACGGCGTGAAACCTGTGTTTGGGCTTACTGTGTGCGCTTATAAAACATCACCCCCACAAATATTTACACTGATCTTAGGAGCATGTTGATCTACGTTGCTATCTGGGGGTACAGACGTGCTCCAGACTTTGAGTTGCAGCCGCAAAACGCGCCTACGCAGGCTCAGCAGATCGCTTGCGCGCTCCTCACGCCTTCGAATCCACTGCGGCTGGCGTGCGAAGGTGAGGGCATTGATGGCTGAGTCTATCCTGCATACACCACAGGATCTGAACTCTGGGCCTGATATGGTTGAGTGGGACAAGAGCGGTAGAGAAAGGGAGAACACAGGGCGCCAAATTGGCCAAAATGCATCAGCAAAAGTGGCTGACAAGGCCTCGGCAAATACCGTAAGCCTGGCGTAGAGTTCCAATATGGCTACATGCCTTACAGGCGCCATGTCAGGCATTGCAAGGCTCTGATTGGTAATCTTATAGCTGCTTAGCGCTTAACATCGTCACTCACCCATGTAGGATTGCATGCGAAAATTATCAATCCAATTAATGCAACACATTTCTTCTCTTACACTGCTGAAAGACAAGTCCTTCCAATGCATTCTCCTATACCGCTGCACAAGCTGATCCACCCTCCGCCTCGTTAATTTCGACTCCAGAGTCTGACCTTGACTCATCCAAGGACAGAGACGATGTCCATCTCACTGGCACCAATTCTCAATGTAAATCTGCAGATGGAAGTTGGGCTAATATTAATGATTTGACCATCAGTGACTCTGAGCGCACGGGAGGTGCTGCAGGCCCCACCAGGCGGAGGACGCTGCGTTACAGTTCCTCACCTTCCCCTCCCAAACGAACGGGCTCAGCATTCATGGTAATGTCGAAGCACCTTCAACGCGCATCTCTCCGCGTCGTCAGGCCACGCCTTGGACAATTCAATTCGCATACCGGATGAAGACTTCGACGATGGCAAGTATTCTCCCACACAAGATAACAAGGAGCCTCGAAGAACAATGGAACGAACGACAAGTGTTCCTTACCAGAAAGCTAACTCCCTTACGAAGGCGCACTCTCAATTTCTTAGAGTCCTCCAGCACCTTTCGTCTTCGCCTCTATGGCTTCCTTTCTCATCTGTATGCCTCTTCTAGGTTTCTCCCGCCCGACAATATTAATCATCCTTGCAGATGGACCGAACCTCTGATACTTTGTTTAATAATCTTTACTGCCTGCGTATTGATATCTCAAGCGTCTCACTCGATCCTTCTTCCCTCGGATTAGTCTATGCCAAATATGTGTTTCTGGATTTCTGCTAGATCCTGAAGTTCCAATATCAGCTTTATTTGCATCATCAATAACGTCGACATTGAGGGTAGGTCCTTCCGCATCCGGTTCCTTGTCACGCGGACTCTCCTTAAGGCCCTTCTATGATCGTATATCGTGGCCTTTCAAACTTTCTGAGGCTACCCCGTCATGTTCGATGCCTGACATAGTAGTTGGTCCAAGCAGTTTGCCTCATGACGCTTCGCGTCAAGAAAAACAGATCATAGTAGATGAGCCTTCTCCTGAAAGAAAACTCATTTCTCGCTACAGCATTTCACAGCTCCCTTCATCAATAGCATTCCCCTTCGAACTCGAACTCAGCCTTACACTGCCGAGCCCCTTCAGTGACAAATTCCGTATTATACGGGCCACCCGACCTACATAATATCCCGTATGAGACGGGCCAGCGGATTATGGGCCCATGTTGTGTATATTCTCGATGATGACGGATGGGCCGGGACACATATTATTTCCGATGGAGACGGGTGGGCCCATGTATGCCAATGATATATATATCCTTGATGTTGACGGATGGGCCGGGTGAATATGATCATTCATGGAGATGGGTGGGCCCATCAGGGTAATATGTAGAGTAGGATATTATAGACAGCTGGGCTGAAGAGAGATGTAAGGCAAATATTGTTATATAGACGGGTGGGCCGACAGGGGTGTATTACATATATGGGTGGGCCGAGGTAGGGGAATATTACATAGATGGGTGGGCTGACGCGGGGTGTATTACATATACAGGTGGGCCGACATAAAAAGTATTACATATACGGGTGGGCCGACGAAAGGGATATCAAATAGACGGGTGGGCCGAGGGTGTGATAAAATATTTATTACATAGACAGGTGGGCCAAGGTGGGGTATAATTATATAGACGGGTGGGCCGACGTAGTATGTATTATATAGACGGGTGGGCCAACATAGGATGTATTACATAGACGGGTGGGCCGAGGGTGTGATAAAATATTTATTACATAGACAGGTGGGCCGAGGTGGGGTATAATTATATAGACGGGTGGGCCGACGTAGTATGTATTATATAGACGGGTGGGCCGACGTAGTATGTATTATATAGACGGGTGGGCCAACATAGGATGTATTACATAGACGGGTGGGCCGACGTGGGGGATAATACATAGATGGGTGGGCTGACGTGGGGGAATTGTACATAGATGGGTACATATATGGGTGAGCCTGGATACGTATAAATGTCAACTTTTCAGTGCAAAACCCCAAACCGAGATTTACCAACCCCCGAAACCCGAAATTGTGGACTGCCGGGTGTCGGGTTTCGGGGTTCGGGGGTCCCGGAACTCGGAACTCGGTATGTGAGACAAAAATATATTTCATACACGGGTAAGTCAATGTGTCCGTCAATCAACTCGATTGTAAAGTATATTTTATTGATCTCCCCAAATTTCCCAAGTTCCGAGTTCCGAGTTCCGGGACCCCCGAACCCCGAAACCCGGCAGTCCACAATTTCAAGGTTCGGGAGTTGGTAAAATGTGTATGGACAGATGAAAGGTTGATTTAAACATTTTTGAAAGATGTCCCATATGAAATGTTAAGTCCCGAATTTTGAACTCCGGGTTTCGGGACTCCGGGTGTCGGGACTTCGGGCTTCGGGACTCGGGACTCCAGAAAGCCGGAAATCAAAACTTGGGACTTGACATTTCATATGGGACATCTTTCAAAAATGTTTAAATCAACCTTTCATCTATCCATACAAATTTTACCAACTCCCGAACCTCGAAATTGTGGACTGCCGGGTTTCGGGGTTCGGGGGTCCCGGAACTCGGAACTCGGAACTTGGGAAATTTGGGGAGATCAATAAAATATACTTTACAATCGAGTTGATTGACGGACACATTGACTTACCCGTGTATGAAATATATGTTTGTCTCACATACCGAGTTCCGAGTTCCGGGACCCCCGAACCCCGAAACCCGACACCCGGCAGTCCACAATTTCGGGGTTCGGGAGTTGGGTCCCGGAACTAGGAACTCGGTATGTGAGACAAGCAAAATATATTTCAAACACGGGTAAGTCAATGTGTCCGTCAATCAACTCGATTGTAAATTATATTTTATTGATCTCCCCAAATTTCCCAAGTTCCGAGTTCCGAGTTCCGGGACCCCCGAACCCCGAAACCCGAAACCCGGCAGTCCACAATTTCGGGGTTCGGGAGTTGGGTCCCGGAACTAGGAACTCGGTATGTGAGAGAAGCAAAATATATTTCAAACACGGGTAAGTCAATGTGTCCGTCAATCACCCGAACCCCGAAATTGTGGACTGCCGGGTTTCGGGTTTCGGGGTTCGGGGGTCCCGGAACTCGGAACTCGGAACTTGGGAAATTTGGGGAGATCAATAAAATATAATTTACAATCGAGTTGATTGACGGACACATTGACTTACCCGTGTTTGAAATATATTTTGCTTGTCTCACATACCGAGTTCCTAGTTCCGGGACCCAACTCCCGAACCCCGAAATTGTGGACTGCCGGGTGTCGGGTTTCGGGGTTCGGGGGTCCCGGAACTCGGAACTCGGTATGAGACAACAAAAATATATTTCGGGGGTTGGAGGTTAGTAAAATGTTTATAGATATACGGAGGTTGATAGAAACATGTTTGAAAAATGTCGTTCGTCTCAAATGTCAAATCCTGAGTTCCGGGCTTTGGGACTCGGCACCCGGCACCCGGCACCCGGCACTCGGGGTTCGGCACTGAAAATTTGACATTCGGGTGTTAGGGTGTAGGGTGATATCTACCTCAATCTACAGTTTCGAGTTCTGGATATCGGGACTGATTATTGAATCATTCAATTGTGGCATAGGTAACATGCATTGAAAAAGATTTATGTACATCTATCACTGAGCAATTATGTAGCCATTGCAACCTCCTCACCAGGAAGATCAACCTTCCCCTCAACATCCATATCCTCATCAGAGGAATCATATTCTGGCAGGAGGTTACCTTGTTCATTAGGGACCACAATATCGCCGGAGGATTCTGGCAAGAGGTTGCCTGGTTCATCCGGGAGCACAATTTCGCCGGAGGATTGTGGACCCTCAGGCTGAACTTGGGTGGGCTCAACATTGAGACCTACCATAGCAGATCCATCCTCAACCATCAAGGGTGTGGGTTCCATGACTGACATGTCCAAATCAATGAGGTTGGAAAGTGTGGAGGGGAGGGGTGAAATGGACGGGGGGGGACCAGATTGATCAAGCAAGATTGTTGCATCGGCCGGTGTGTCCGGAAGTGAAAATGAAGGGTGCGGGTCGACCATCGTGCGCCGGAGGCTCTCATGGAGGCGTTGGAGGGTATCAATCTTAGCATCCTGCTCCTGCACCCGAGCCTCAAGAATAGCGATGCGAGCTGCACCATCCCGAATCGCGATTGCCATGGAATGGAGATCCGGCATGGGAACATCTAGTGCTGCACGAGGCACTGCGGAACTCGAAGACCGAACAGCTAAGTAAAAAATAAGGTCAGCCGGTCATCAAAAGTGTGGGTGACTTACGAGTTGGCGCAGGTGCAGGTGCAGGTGCAGGGGCAGGTGCAGGTGCAGGTGCAGGTGCAGGTGCAGGTGCAGGTGCAGGTGCAGGTGAGGGTGCAGGTGTCTTCTTGGTAGTGATGGTCTTGCTGCGACCACGTGACTGCACCTGGGGTGTACTTGCAGCAGGGATGGCCGGAGTTCGGGACGGGCCACGAGATTGACTACGAGTCCGGGCCCTTGACCTGGAGGGAGACGGAGCAGTGGATGGAGCAGGGGCAGGTGTCTTGGAACGCGTCCGTCCCGTGGTAGACTTCCCTCGGGTCCGTTTGGGCGGGGATCCCAGAGATGCCGGGTTGCATTTGATCTTCTTGGTGGAGCAGCGGATGCAAGACAGGCAGGGGAGGCTGGACCTCTTGTCCAAACGAGTCGCACAGGGCCAATTCTCCTTGACGCAATAATGGCAGGGGTTGTTCTGTGGTATCCGTTAGTTGATGTACTAGGGGAATTAATTGAGCACTCACTGGGCCGGGAATGGTGATATCAAATGTGGTAGTGGCCGGAGGGTCACCGTCCGAAGCGCTGGAAGTATCACCAGTGGACTCCTCAACTTCCGGACGACTGCCGGAGGTTGCCTGATAAATTGTAAGTACACATGTGAGTTCCGGGCGAGCTTGTAAGACTTACCCGAGCCTCCGGACGACTGATGGGAGATTCCTAATGCGATGGGCATGAGTAAGAATAATACATGCGAGTTCCGGACCTGTCCGGAAAACTCACCATGACCTCCGGACGTTTGCCGGCAGTCAGCTGTGGACACATGAGCATATATATGAGTTCCGGACGACTAAATCAGACTTACCGAAGCAGGCCCAAATGATTGCTTCTTGGGGGAACCAGGTGAACGAGGCGACTGGGGTTTCCTTACAACAATGGTGGAGAGCTGGGAAAGGACGACCTCTGGCACTCCACGCGAAATCGGCTACAACAAATTGAGAGCATGTCACAAATGAGCCAGAACACATACCTGAACAATTGGGTCTTCATCATCTTCCGACTCCACAAACGGCTTTGACTTGGGGAGTCCAGTTGACTTGACACGCTTGTGACCCTTCATCGCCGACTTCGGA